TACATGTACTAAAAGAGTCCAGCACTATAAAAATAGTAGAAAACTATTAGAATAATATGACTCACAAAAAAATGTTGATTTTTTTGATAAGCCTCAATACCCATTCATGACTTAAATATAAAGAGAAAACAGAAAGAGAAGGAAGTCAAGTAGCTCTAGCAGAGAATATCATACTTCATGATAAACTATAAGAATAATATATAAGGGGCACCTGGGTGGCTTAGCCGGTTAAGCGTCCGACTTTCGCTTAGGTCATGATCTCGCTGTTTTTGGGTTCGAGCCCCTCGTCGGGCTCTGTGCTGACTGCCAGCTCAGAGCCTGGAGCCTATTTCAGAGTCTGTGACTCCCTCTCTCTCTGACCCTCCCCTGCTCATGCTCTCTCTCTCTCCTAGAAATAAATAAAAATATTAAAAAAGAAGAATAATATATAAGATGCCATTTATATGAAGTTTAAAATTATTACTAGGTAGTATTTATACATACAGATAAATATAGTAAAAATAATCTCATATTAAATGATAAATCTCTCCCAGTCAAAAATAAGATTAAGATACCTACTATCATCGCTTCAATAAACCACTATATTATAGGCACTTATTACCATGGTAAGGCAAAAAAATAAAATAAAATCAATAATAAATTTAAGGATAAGAAAGCAAAACATTTGCATATAACATTGACTACAAAGAGCATTTAAGAAAAATTATAAACAAATTATTTGGACTGAACAAGATTATTATTTATAATGCACCAGCAAAATATATATATATATATATGTTTATATCAGCAACAATAAAAACAGTGACAGAAAACATAAATTCAAAACAAATTCCATTAGTAACAAAAACAGAGGATATCATGTTCTCAGAGGAAAAAGAATAGAAAAAATATATTAAGATCTTTACATAGAAAATTGCTTTCTTTTAACTTAAAAACATGCAAACTATCTATATATATGGAGAGATAATACATATTCATGGGTATGGGTAGGAGGATTCAATATCATAAGGATATCAGTTGCCTTCCAGTTATTCTATCAATTTAATTCAGTTCCCAATTGAAATGTCAATATATAACTTTTTATTTAACTTAAAAAAGCTGATGTTAACTTCATATATAAGGACAAAGGGGCTAGTCTTCTATCCAAGACAAGGTTTTAAAAAACTGGATGCTTTCTAAGATAACAAGATTCATAAAAAGCAATGACAAAGTAATGGACAAAGAAAATGACAGATGACTGAGCTAAAATATATGGCTTAGAAATAGACACATATTAATATGCAACTCAATATAAAAGACTTGACAATTTTAAAAATAATTTTGGGACAACTGGTTATCCACATGAGGAAAAATAAAGCTAGTATAAAAACTTTTTTGGGGTGCCTGGGTGGCTCAGTCGGTTAAGTGCGTGACTTCAGCTTAGGTCATTATCTCGTAGTTCACAAGTTTGAGCCCCGCATCGGGCCCTGTGCTGACAGCTTGGAGTCTGGAGCCTGCTTCAAATTCTGTCTCCCTCTCTCTCTGCTCATCCCCTGCTTGTACTCTTTCTCTCAAAAATGAATAAACATTATTTTTTTTATTTCTTACATAATACATAAAAATTATAAACCGTAATAGGAAGAGTGATAAAACTGAACTGTCTAAAGCCATCTATACAACAAAAAGTGGACATAGAAAAGAAAGCCAGAGATTGGGAAAACATATTTACAACATATATATATGCATGTGTGTGTGTAGAAATTAAAACCAAAATTCTTACTAAAAACTAAAAAAAAAAGAAGACAGACAACTTAATAGAAAAAGGAACAAAGTATATGAATAGGCAATTCCTACAAGAAGAAATACGAATGGCCAATATGCTTGAAAAATAGAAACTGAGAAAATACAATTCTTTAAAAAAGACACTATGTCCCACCTAAAAGATTGTTAAAATTTTTTAAATGTTACCAATAGCAACTGCTGGAAAAGATGAGATAATTCTAAAACTTACATGAATTGCTGGTGGGTATGTACCTGGTGTGCCAGTATAGTGCAATCACTATAGTGGCAAATGTGGCAAAATCTAGTAAAATTCAACTGTACATCATATGAATTCCTAGGGAGAAATCCATTCATTGAAAGATGTGTATGAGAATGTTCTTTATAGCATACTTGACACTGATAAAAAAAAATAAAAATAATCTAAATATCCAGCACAGAAATTTAGATAAATTGTGGCATATATTTGTATAAGAACATTGTTTGTAGCATTTAAAATGAATGAGTCTAAGTTCTACATATCTACACAAATTGTGATAGCATACTAATGTATCAGTTGCAAGAACAGAGTGAGATGTAATTTATAAGAAGTTTAAAACATATAACGAAATACTAAATACCACTTAGAAATACATGTGAGTGTGGTGAAAGCATAAAAACATGTAAAAAGTAATGAATCCAAAATTAGAACAGCAGGATTTCTTCTGAGATGAAGACATGGAAATGAGGTTGTGAAGAATTACAAAGGAAGCCTTAATAATGATGCAGTATTCCGTGTCCTTATAAAAAAATGTCTAAAGCAATATGTTAAAATGAAGTAAGGCTGGATGTTGAATACACAGAAGTTAATCATTATTATTCACTTTGGTGGTCCTAACACTGAAAACCGTTCACAATAAAAACAAGAAATGTTTTTTTTTTTTAAATGACATTATAAAAGTATTTATAATACATAAATCGATCAACCAAACAAGTAACTATGGGACTACAGCCAGTAGGTTTCTGCGGAGCTACAACCTCCTAAGTGTCATCTGACAATATAGTGGGGGACAAGGGGTTCCTTTTTGTTGTTCCAAGAGTGCTGCTGGCATTTATTGGGACGAAGGGGGGAAATGATACATGCCTTACAATGGTACAATCCAGAGCAAAAGAAAAAAAAAATGTCCCTAGATCTCCTGTTGATGGTTAGAGTCACCATACCAAGCAGCCTTGGAATATGACTGACTTGACCACAGGGTCAGCTCAAGTCCCTTATCACGAAAAGACGGCCTCTTCCGTGGTATGCTTTCTTTAATAAATTTTTTCTTTTCCCGGAGTTTCCTATGTGTCAGAGATTATTCCTGGACCGGAGAGAGAAAAGATGTGTAAGGTTCTTCCCTAGCCCCAACCCCTGAGCTGAATTCCCCGTTCCCCCATTCAGCCAAGGACCCCATCAAGTTAGCCCCAGGAAATCTTTATGCTCACTTGATTCAGCTACACATAATTAAACAGACTTGTTACTCCCGGTTGTCCCATAAATGGCCCCACAAATAAATGAATCGCTTTTTGTGGCATCACAGCAAAACTGGCAACCAGAAAGTCAACACTAACAGAACACAAATTTCATGGGTTAGTTTTCAGAAAACTGCAATCCAATTATTTAAGACAAAACAAGCTTCTCACTTGTGTACCAAGCATTCGGGGAAAGTATTTAAAGTAACATAACTGCCTTGCATCATACTCCACAAACAAAGTTCTTGTAAAATTCCATCTTTCTCACTTGAAATATGCAGAACAAATAAAAACAGCAGGGGAAAACATTATGTTCCTTGCAACATGGCTCCTCTGCTTCATTGCTGTACTAGAAATGGTAGGTTATTTGCTTTATCAGATGAATTGGCTCTGTAGCCCACATTTAAAAGAGCATACATGGGTTTTCATCAGCAGGAAGCTTGGACTTGATTAGTTCAAGATAAAAGTACACAAGGAGAGTTGAATATCATTCTGAGTCCATAAATGTAGGTGTAATGAAGATGGAAAAGTACAAAACATTCATGTTCTTAGGTATTAATGATAAGTAGGAAAAAAGCTTGCATCTTTTAGCTAAACTGTTTATTGTCTGAAAACTCAATGTAGTAATTCAAGGCCAAGTGACAGGAAATTACAGTTTCCTGGCTGACATCAATTCGATCTTCGGTAATAGTTCTGAAATGGGAATTTCTAAGCCTTGAGGAGAAGGGGAAAAACACACACACATACACAATAATTCAGGTCACAGCCCAGATGATATGGCACACATTATGTGCATAAAATAATGACGTATGCTTAAAAAATTCGGTGCCTTATTATGTAATTTTAATCAAACTTTTTATTTAATCAGGTTCTTACATTTAGTCTGTGCATGGACTTGGTTATTTACAGAATACAAGCTCCCATAAGGGAGATACGGAACATAACGGCTGTTTCTTGTTAGAAGTGCAAATGAACAATTATTTTTTCTAGGTAATCATAAAAGTAAATATACCTAGAATTGGTGAGCTAAAAAAGGTTTTAAATTCTTTTCTAGTTTTCATGCTGTGGAAGGTAGTTATCTACATAATTCCCCCTATGCAAAGGGAGTATTCCTCACCCTTTCTACCCATGTTCATTCCATCATATACATAATTAGCTCAAACTATCTTGAGAGCAAAGACTGCTAATTGTCACCCAATATCTATTCTCTATTTATCCTTAAGGTTCTAACTATATGCAGCATTGTAACTGTCTATGCACAAATGAGAGACTAGCTTAACCAGCTTACCTGCTGCCTAGGTCTTGCCAATCCATGATGCTATGGTCGATGGAATGCAAGAAGAAATTGCACGTACCACTTTCAAATAAGAACTTGAAAAGGATATTGCCTGTATAGCAATTTTCTCTCTTTCCCTTTCCAAGGGATATAATGTAATGTACCAGTCAAACAGCCTCAGCCATGTGACAAGGACACCACCCTATGGAAAGGTAGAGCAATGAAATGGAAGGAATCTGGGTCCCTGGGACAGAATCTCCCACCTGCCCTGTAACACTGACCTAGTCTAAATCGTTATGAGAGTGAAAAATAAACTTCAAACTTCAAATTTACCCTAAATTCAGAAATCTTGGCCTTATAGAGAACATGATAGATTGGATTGTTTTCACTGAATATTCTCTCATCTCCCCTGTCCAAACACTTAGAAACTGCCCAAGTGACTTGCTTTGCTCTACAGAGAGAGAGAGAGAGAATTAACACAAGCAGAGGTTTTACAAATTTGTATGTCATCCTTGCACAGGGGTCATGCTAATTTTCTCTGTATCATTTCAATTTTAGTATAAGTACTGCCCAAGGGATCACTGCAAGCAGAGACTATTTATTTTTATTTTATTTTTTTTTTTTTGAGAGAGAGCGCGAGCGAGCGAACGAGCAGGGGAGGGACAGAGAGAGAGGGAGACAGAGAATCTGAAGACAGGCTCCAGGCTCTGAGCTAGCTGTCAGCACAGAGCCTGATGCGGGACTCGAACCCATGAACCATGAAATCATGACCTGAGCCAAAGTCGGATGCTTAACCGACTGAGCCACCCAGGCACCCCTGCAAGCAGAGATTTTAAATCAGTTTGCCTTCTTGCCTTCCTATAATCTTCCCTGAGAAAAGTCTGTCTCAGGTGGCCACTGGTCCATGAAAAAAGGGGAAATGCAAGGGAGACCTGTATCCATGCCAAAACCACACAAGCCTGGCTGAGGCATGGCTGTTCCATTAACAAGAACACAAATGCTTGTTGTTCTAAGCAATTGAATTTGGGAAGAAGGGCAGAGAGCGATGTTGGGCAACAGTACTGAAGCAACATGCAATATTGAAAAGAATACTGATGACATATTAAACAATCTGGACTTTACGAACTGGAAATTAACAGAACTTTTATGTGTAACTCATCATGGTTCCAATTCAATTTTCTGATGTTCAGAATAAAAAGGTACAGTACACAATCTTCAAGGATGCCTACAACTTTAATATTCTAAGATTTCATACACTGCCTCCAAATTTCTGCCACTTTCTTAGTCAAGGCTATCTTGATCAGTGCATTGCACCTTTAGAACATTCTCCTTGCTAAGAGATATTCTCAGCCCTCCCTGATTTCAGGTCATTATAACCACATTTGTTATTATTTTATAGCCCAATGGTCTACACTTTACTTTCTATTAAATCCTATCTTTGGACACTAATGCAACACAAAGGAATATATGCTAACTATTAAATATCACAAACTGCATGTTAACTAGAAAATGAAAAGTCTACCCAGCATATAAAACTGGAAATTTCTATTTGAGGGTCCACTGGTATATTTTGAAGAGAGTTACCAAAGACCAGCACTCAATGGAGAGTCACTCCTTTATGTAATGAGGTTTATAAAAGGATGGGGAGAGAAGCCCTTTAGGCAACAGTCAGTAGTATTTGGTGTCTAGTAAAACCACTACTTTGTGCATATTTTTTCTTGATAACACCAGAAAATTTTTATTTTTCACTATTCACAGTTGAAGAATCGCAATATTCATAGCATTTTCTTCTCCTCTGCCTACAGGAAGACCACATTTCACAGCCATAGGGTTCCTCGGGTTGGGAACACATTGCTTAGTTTTCATCAATGCAAAAGTGAGGTGTCACCTCTGGAAGCAGACAGTCCAGTATGACAGTAACTTCTGACAACTCTTTCCCATCCATGCAATTGAGTGAAGAGTTTGAATCCCTCAATTACTGTTGAAAGAAAGTCAACAAGGAAAGTGGCCTGACCCACATCAGACAATGATACAAGTGAGGGGGAAAACAAAAACAAAAAACGAAACAAACAAACAAGCCCCTGTTTTGTTAAGCCATTTGAAATTTCTGATCATCACATTATCCTGATAGATACAATAGGGATACCTTTGGCTCTATCATCCCATAGCACTGCACACTACTCCACTTCTCTACTGGAATGTAGGTTTTTACCACACATTGAAAACCTATCTGTTTTGTTTTCACATATATCAGCGAAATTTTGTTGAACAGTTAAGTCTGTTCAGAAAACAGAATAATTTAAAAGTTCTGACTTCTGCTGGCATATACAACATGCCACTGCACAAGGTACTCAGGCAATTGTATGCTTTTAAGAAGTTCATCAATTTTCTTTTCTTTTTAAATTTATTTATTTATTTTGACAGAGAATGCAAGTGGGGGAGGGGCAGAAGAGAGGGAGAGAGAGAACCCCAAGCAGGCTCCCCACAGCTGGACCCCAATGTGGGTCTCTAATCCACAAACTGCGAGGTCGAAACCAAGAATCGGACACTTAACCAACTGAACCCCCTAGGCACCCCACAGTTTGTCAATTTTCAAATGGTCTGGTTTTACACTGACTTCTAATTTCATTATGGAAAAGTTTTCAATAAAATCTAATAATTAATTTTAATATGCTTATAAATGTTAGGTCTCAAGTCATAAAATAATACACAAAGATACACTCTTTTATATACAAATATTCATGATCCACTGAAAATGAACATTTTGAGAAATATGAAATATCATCAAATGAGTATATTCACAATCACTGCAGTACCCCTCTAGACAATGAGTCACTTAAGAAAGTTAAAAATACCTCATTTTCATTCTTCAGGATTAAGTTATTTTAGCACATGATTGTAGAAATCAGAAAGAAAAACAGAAGGAAGAGAGGAAGAAAGTAAGAATACATTAGCCAACAAAAGAAATTTAATAGTCATTTCTTTTGTAAAGGCCTATGCTACACTTGTCTTTCTGAAAATCTTGTTCTTCACATTATAGGTCAAGATAATGAACAAGAAAGACTACCTAATAATGGGGTAATAGAGTATTTAAAAACATCTGAATCACCATTAATGCATCTACACAAATACAGAATTTATATTTTAGAAATTAAAATTATATTGGATTTAATTTTTCTTTAATGTTACTTTTGAAAAGGATTTCAGAGCAAATCAACAGTATAAATAGCACGTTAGTAAGAACTAGCTTCAGAGCACTTCAGCTACATGTAATTTGTTTACAAGTAATGAATGTGCTGATTACAAATGGTTCTTATTATTCATAGAAGCAAGTCAGGTATTTCTTCATTCAATGAATATGCATTGAGCACCCACTAAATGCCAGGAATTTACTTTATACAAGCACAATAAAATGAAACTTTCTGAAATATATTCTAGAAAAAAAAGTTGAAAATAATAAAATTCTGATCCCGATTATCTACATTAGCCACTGGTAAAACTAAGGTAGTTTCAAATGAGAAGAGAAGAAACCAAGGGAGTGTCCATGAAAACTAATAGATCTATTAGCTTAAAGAGAGAAAAGGGACATTAACAAGGCTTATAAAATGACAGCCTACCTGACCCAAAGGTTAAGTATCAGAGTGTCTGAGTTCAGGGTGTGAGGTTGTCAGGACAGGTGTTATGGTTTTATTTTCTGGCTTTTTAAAAAAATTGTTATTAGGCAAATCATGCATTCTCAATTTGCCATAAGCTGGCTTTGCCACTTGCTATTGTCTTAAAACTAGTCATTCACACATTAATTATAATTACTTATTCCCTAAACATGATTAATGCATTTGATATTGCAACCCCTGACTCAGAGAGGTACATAAAAGGAAAAAAATTCTAGTACAGGGACAGAAGGAATGATTTATTTGAGGAGCAGTGGTGAGCCTATATTAGCTTATGCATACATTTAGATCTAGCACTCATTAAAAAATCAACCCATCACTTTCCTCATTAAACGTCATGGCTTTAACCTTGACCGTCAAATTATAGGGAGCAACTAGCATGATACAATTTTAAAACAAAACAAAATAGAAAAAAAGAACAACCAAAACCAGGTGACCTTGATGCTAATCTCTGGAGGAAAACACTGGTTCCAAAGGATAGTATATCCTTTTGCCTTAAATTGCAAACAAGAAACACTGCAGAAATATCTCCCTAGTTCTGTATTAAAATATGAATGCATACTCTATTACATAAATTATTTCAGCAGTAATATTTTAGCTCACATGGCAGAGTACTATTTTGATTTTTAAAAATGGTTATATTAAGGTACTACATACATTTCCTTTTGCTGGCCTTTCATAAAGGCAATTTCTTACTCAATTTGTTTAGCAATAGTATTCAAAAATTCTTTAGCTTGCCAATAAATATAATTCCTTGATTTGCTTGTAAGGACTAGTTAGTATTCTTCCAGGACCTAAAAACACATGGTGAGGAAGAAAGGAAGAAACATAAATTCTGATTGAAAATGTGCTTCAATGGTGATCCTATAGAAGAATATATACTGTTGCTGTCAGTGGTAGTTTTTCTTCAGCCTTTAAGTTCTCCTTTCAAATGGAATATAGATTATAATAGCGTAAAAGTTCAGCATTTTCTATAAGCCACACTCTTTACCAGGTTCATTACCATCTCACTGAAAACCTGTGAATTTGAGACTTTCATTCTTTCTATTTTTACAGAGAAGGAAACTGAGGCATACAGAGGTTAAATAACCTACCACAGGTCATCTGTATAGTAAATGGTGCAAGCAGCCAGCTTATTTCTGAATTAAAAGTATGCTTTTATGGAATGTGGGAAGATTATTTGAAAATGAAATATACAATAAAGGATTAGTATCCAAAATATATAAAGAACTTCTAAAACTCAACAAAAAACAAATAATTCAATTAAAATGGGCAGAAAAACTGAGATACGCCTACAAAATATCATCTCTCATGCCTATCAGAATGACTAAAGTCAACAACATAAGAAACAACAGATGTTGGTGAGGATATGAAAAAAAGGGAACCCTCTTTCATCGCTGGTGGGAATGCAAACTTGTACAGCTGCTCTGGAAAAAAGTATGGAAGTTCCTCAAAAAGTTAAGAATAGAACCCACCTCTATCCAGCAATCACACTACTAGAATACAGAATACAGAAATACTATTCCAAAATGATACACACACCCTGATGTGTAGAGCAGCATTATCTACAATAGCCAAATTATGCAAATGGCCCAAGGTCCATCAACTGATGACTGAATAAATAAGATATATATATATATATATACACACACAATGGAATATTAGCCATAAAAAAGAATGAAATCTTGCTATTTGCAACAATGTGGATGGAGCGAGAGAGTATTATGCTAACAAGCAAGGTAGTCAGAGAAAGACAAATACCATACGATTTCACTCATATGTGGGATTTAAGAAACAAAAAAAGTGAGCAAAAAAAGAGAGAGAGAGAGAGAGACAGAGGTAGAGGCAAACCAAAAAACAGACTCTTAACTACAGAAAGAAAACTGATGGTTAGCAGAAGGGCGGTGGGGA